CTCCGGGCCCCGTGCCGGGGGCGGGAAAATGGCCGCGGTCCACGTGTCAGGGGCGGAAAAATGGCCGCGGACCACGTGTCAGGGGCGGAAAATGGCCATGGACCACGCAGCAGGGCGGAAAAACAGCTGCGGACCACGCGGCAGGGCGGAAAAATGGCCGTGGACCACGTGTCAGGGGCGGAAAAATGGCCGCGGACCACGTGTCAGGGGCGGAAAATGGCCATGGACCACGTGTCAGGGGCGGAAAATGGCCATGGACCACGCAGCAGGGCGGAAAAACGGCCGCGGACCATGTGGAACGGGCGGAAAAATGGCCGCGGACCACGTGGAACGGGTGGAAAAATGGCCGCGGACCATGTGGAACGGGCGGAAAATGGCCGCAGACCACGTGGAACGGGCGGAAAATGGCCGCGGATCCAATTCGTAAGTCGAGGCGAGTTCGCAAGTCGAGGTAAATTTTTGGGCCCGGAGCTGGTCGTATCTCGAAAAATTCGTAAGTAGGGGCGTTCATAACTAGAGGTACCACTGTACTTCATTTTTCATGGCACAGAATTTGGGAATATCTGAAATAACATAAAAACAGAGTTAACAATGCATTTCTGAGCTCATTTAGTAGCATTGATGGTACTGAATAAGTTAAATGTTTTCACTACCATTGCATCAGTTCACTACCATCCAGTGGAACTTTTCTAGATGCTTTATGGCACTAGACTATAGAATACACACCTGGAACTGTTAAAGATACACTCTAGCCAATTTATTTGGCATTTTGCTGGTAAAGTACATGTGATGTTTATACCAGAGTTTGAGATGGTCAAGATCATACACTGTGTTGTTACATCATGGACAGTATGGACAAATTACTTGAAGTAGTGATGCCTGTCATTTGTTGTTTAGATACATGCCCGTCATACCTTTTTAAATTGGCTTTAGCTCTGCTTGGTCCCTGCAGTTGTGGAGATTATTTCTTAAAATAATGAAGTCCATACAGCTCTGAGGGAAACAGCAGTGAGGTTTCCACTGAAGAAACCAAATTTATTATTGTTCTAGTGTCAAACTTGCATGCTTGGTGATAGAATATATGGTGGCCTATCAATTATCCTCTCCTCAGCAGCAGAGGAAACAACAGTAAATTAGAAACCCAAGATTATCAGAAGACAACCCACACTAATCAAGTATTCCATTACCAAAGTAACAACCCAACTTCCCACAGGAGGAGCTGTGTAAGAACA